GAAATCCGCTATATCTACTCAACTTTACTTTTGAGTTAAGTGTTTGTAACGTATCTGTAAATAAGTCACACACGTTTTCCTTGCGTTATTTTTGTTAGTTTTTCTCTAAATCTTACTTAACTACTATTTACCATCTTAGAATTGCTATAGTGATGCAGTTGATCCAAATCGTTAATTATTTTTCGCCTCTGGCATTCACCTTTACACGCGACATGCTTTCGTTTTAGTAAGTACTCAGTCTACAACATTTCTAATGAGAGCGTCCTCTAGCATTACCAGCTAGCAAAGTGCTGCACAAAGATATGCCTCTTCTACATTCGGAATCTGCCGAGAAAGTGAATAAGTGGGGCAGAGCTGACTCATGGCCATGGTTGATAGTTTTGAGCTCGAATTGGTCAAGTTTATCGAAATGTGCTGGCAAAACATGGCGATATCAATCAAACATCATTTTTAGCTAATAAAAAGGCGCTATTGTTGCAAACAAATTACATAGTATACAGTTCCTTGAAATGTACTAACTAAGTAGCGCAGAGACTTTTACATCATTCTCCAACAGAACTTACAGCCTTAACCGCTAACGTGTATGCAGTTTGGGCATGCATGTGTTTATTTGTTTAAAAATACCTGCCTCCACTCACAAATAGCCTGAAACATGTCCTCCACCACCGGTAGACGCTGTCATCTGGCAACCGACTACACCTTTTAGACCCCGAAGAGACAACTTAAATAATGTTGCAATAGAGCCCACTCTCTACAACAAGATATGCGACATTATCGGTTAGCCCAAATTCCGAGAAATCAACACCCACTCACTACCTCTGGGCGATTTTTGTGTGCCACTTTTACCTTGATTCTCCTGAACAAAACCTTCAGAAAAAAAGAACACAAGAAATATTAAAGCGTTTATTCACCTGCAGGTGTGCCAGGGTCTACGCCCAACAAGGACTGATATGCAAACACAAAAGAGGGTAGGGTAGGGACAGAAGTGAAGTAAAAAGGGTGGAGACGTTGGTCATGAAAATTGGTCGGTGAGTGGGACCTCGGTGTGTGTGGACATCCAGTCTTGAGTGTATCCATTACGGTTCACTGCTATCGGTTGAATGGTAATTGAGTTTGCTCTTTTGCGTGGTTTATTATTAAGGTGATCTCTCGTTACAGAGCTAGTCATTGAGCCAGTGCTCTATCATGGTAGCGCATCACTAAGTGAAGAGACAATAAAGTGAATAGCTATGGTACCAACTACCCTGATAGTGACGGAAATCTAATTGTATTAGGCTCTGTCTAGTAGAGGTCGATCACTTTTTAGGTTCTACTTTTGCGTAGTCCATATCAAGAAACAAATGTGCACCAAGTCAATGCTCTGGGGAAGCACGTTCTGGTGACGTAGAATATGGCGGGACGGTATGCATGTTCGAGATACATGGAGCTCGTTAGTCGTATACGCGAATGTAATATTCATATGTGCAGGTTTATTGTTAGTTTAATATATGGTCAGAGGAGGCAGATAGGTGGAATGAGAGGTTGATGAGGAAAAGCAGCACCAAGCATGATTAAAAGCAGGTTGGCATGGAGGGAGCCAAGGAGATAGAGAAAAGTTGTGGATGCGGATATTTGGAAGGACGAGAAGAGCTGGAGGAG